ACCAACTTGAACTGAAGGTATTTCCGATGACGTAGTTGTTTCTTCACCTTCTATCGGTGATATGGTCGTTGATGTTCCAGCACTGATTTCCTTGTCAGTTGTCATTGCACCTTCGATTGGTCTAATTGTACTTGATTGTGATGTTGTTGTCTCTTGACCAACTTGAACAGATGGGATTTCTGATGACGTAGTTGTTTCAGCGCTAATTTCTGAAACAGAAGTCAATTTTGTTGTGGCTTCTTCTTCAACTGATGGAGCCGTAGTGATACTTGGTATTTCAGTTGTTGATGATATTTCGGATGTGGTTATAGTATCGACACCGATTTCTGAAACAGTTGATTTTGTTGTCATTTCACTTTCAACTGATGATGGAGTAGTGCTAAAAGTGATTTTCTTTTCCGTTGTAACATCTTCTGGTTTTTCGGTTATTTCTGAAATAGCTGCAGTTGTTGTTTCTTGGCCTATTTCTTCAATAGTCGGCATTGTTGTTGTTGTTGTTGTTACAATAGTGGAAGACGAAGATTCTGGTTTTTCGGTTCTTGTAAATTCCGATTCAATTCCGGTTGTTTGTTCTTTTTCCACCACTGACGGAACAATAGTTGATGTAGTAAATGTAGAAATTTCCGAAATTGTTGTTGTAGTTTCCATACCAATCGTATCTGTTTGAGCTGTACTCGCAGATTCTTGGATTGTTGTAGCAGGTGTTGTTACATTACTGGATACTTCTGAAATTGTTGATGTTTGTGATTCCGGCGCAATTGTAGTACCAGTTAATTCTTTTTCACTTGGTTCTGTTTTATTCATTTTTGCTGGAATCATTTCAGAAATAATTGGTTGAATTGTTGAATGTTCTTCAATCAATGGTGCCATTGTTGTTGTTGATGTAATAAAATCTTTAACTTTTGTAATTAATTCATCAAACATTGATGGTGTTGTTGTTTTCGTTGTATCAATTATATCTGATTCCGGTATTGCTGTTGTTTTTCCGATATCCACTTGAACATCGGGTGCCATTTCGGTCACAATAGTTGTAGTTTCATCTTTAATCAATGGAATGGTAGATGTTTCGCCTTCCATTTCTTTGCTCGATGCTTTTGTTGTCGTTTCAATCGATGTTACAGTAGTTGCCGAAGTTTCTTGTTCTGTTGTTTCCAAGCCAACTGTTGTTTTTTCTTTTTCTTCTTCAGGAGTTATTGTCGATCCACTTTCCGTTACCATTGTTGTTGTTGGCCATTCAGTAGTTGACGACGCTGTCGTTGTTATTGTTTCCTGGTCAATTTCTTCAGTTTGAGTTGTTGGTTCAATCGTACTAGTTATTCCCGTTTGTTCTTTTTCAGTGGAAAGAATTGTCGATGCTTCCGATGTGGGAATAACAGTGGTTGTTTCGAAACCACTTTCAACCGGCTTAACTGTTTTATTTTCTGAAATCATACTTGTACTACTAGTTTCATACGTTTCGGGTGGTGTACTTGTTTCAGAAACAATAGTGGTAGTCCCGATTTCATCCGGTGAAATGGTACTAGTTATAAACTGTGGTTCCGTAGTCATGATCATAGGTTTTTCAGTAATATCGGTCATTGTAGAAATAGCACTTGTTGTTTTGACAGGCGTCAAAGTACTGCTTGTTTGTTCGGGTTCTTTTTCCGTAGTGGTTGTTGTTTCGATACCAGTTTGAACTTCGGGTATTTCGGATTCAGCAGTAGTAGTAGTAGTAGGCGTTTGTTCTTCAATAGTTGTTGCAGGTGATTCTGTCGTTTTGGAATCAGTTATGGCAATTTCTTCCATTGTGGTTGTGGTTTCCAATCCCGTTGGTTTAACGGTAGTAATCGATTTAGTTGTTGTTTCACTTGAACTCATTGTACTCATTGATGATTCAGTGATTTCCGATGGTTTTATTGTTGTTGTTTCGAATCCAACTTGAATTGCTGGAATCGTTGATTCTGTTGTTGTTTTCTCGCTTTCTTCAATTGATTGAACCGTACTAGTTATCGGTTCTTTCGTTACTATTTCAGGCGAAATAGTTGTTGTTATTTCACTAATTTCCGGTTCAGTTATCGGTATAGTTGTTGTTGTTGTTGATTGTATCAATTCGCTTTCATCAGGTTCAGTTTTATTTAATTTAGATTCCGGTTCACCTGTAAATCCGATTGTTGGTTGAATTGTTGAATGTTCTTCAATAAATGGTTCCAGTGTTGTTGTTGTTGATGATGTTATCATTTCTTTCATTTCGGTTGTTTCTTCACCTGGTTTACCTGTAGAAGTTGAAATTGTCTCAGCTATTTCTGTATCAGGTATTATGGTTGTCGAATGTTCTATTGAAACAGAAGGAACAGTAGAAGTGAATTCCATCGACGATGGTGGTATTGTCGTTGATGATGTTTCCTTTTCGATCAATGATTCAGTGCTAGTAATCATTTCTTTTTCCGTAGACAAATCAATTGTAGATGATGATTCGGTCATGAACGAAGATGTAGTTGTTGTTTCAATACCAACTTGAACAGTTGGAATTTCTTCACCGATAGTTGTTGTTTCCATTTCTACAGATGTCGAAACTGTACTTGCTGTTGTTGTTATTGGTTCGGGTGTTATTGATTCACTGATATCGGCAGAAACTTTGTCTATAGCCGTAGTTGTTTCTGGAATCGATCCTGTTGGTGTTGTCATTGTTTCAATCGGTACGATAGTACTTGTTGACAATTCTTTTTCAGTTGATACATCAGTTTCTGGTAGTTTGGTGGTGGTCTCGTAACCAGTCTGTATTGAAGGAATTTCCGAAATGGTTGTTGTTGTTTCAATTTCACTTGGAGATATTGTACTGCTGGTAATTTCTTTTTCAGGCATTTCGGTTGTAGAAATTTCTTCAGATAATGTGGTTGTTGTTTCTGGTTCCATTTCAGTCGATCCAGATGTAGTTTCTGGTTCAGCTGTGGACGGTGTAGTCGTTTCAATTCCAATCTGTACTTTTGATGGTTGTGACGTTGTTGTTGTTGTTGTTGTGTCTATTTCAGCAACTGTTGTCATTTCAGGTTCAGCGGTTGTTTCAGTTTCAATAGACGTGCTAGTTCCTGGTTCTTTTTCAGTTTCTACCATTGTTGATGTCGATTCTGGTTCAACAGTAGAAATCACTGGTTTAGTTGTTGTTGTTGTTTCAGCACCAATTTCTTCAACCGAAGGCATACTTGGTTCGGTTGTTGTTGGCCATTCGGTCGATGTAGTCGTTTCGATACCTATTTCTACTGAAGGCATTTCAGTTTTGTCTTCTTCATCAATTGGCATTATCGTTGTTGTCGTTGAATGAATTAATTCTTTTTCACTTGGTTCTGTTTTGTTCATAGTTGAAATTGATTCGGAAACTTCTTCAATTGGCTGTATGGTTGAATGTTCTTCAATCAAAGGTAAGGTTGTTGTTGTTGTTGTTATCATCGTACTCGATATTGTTGTTGGTGATGTTCGAGTCATTCCTTCACCTGGTATTCCTGGTTTCATGGTGGTCGATATTTCTGCTGGAACGCTACTAGATTCTAAAGTTTCAGTTGTAAAATCTGGTTCTAATTTAGTAGATTCTGTAGGCAAAACAGTTGTAGATTCACCGATTGTTGAAATTGTAGAGAATTTATCTTTTGAAATTTCACTGACTGTTGATATTTCTGGTATACTAGTTGTGGTTTTTGTCTCTTCTTCCATGGCTGTTGTTTCAAGTTTCTCAGGAACAATTGTGCTTGATTCGGTAGTCATAACTGATTCTTTTGGCAGTTCACTTATTGTACTTCTTTCTGGTAATTCTGTTCCAGCTGTTGATATAGCTTCAGTTGTTGTTGAAATTGCAGCAGTAGTGGTAGTTTCACCTTCCATCTGAACGGCAGGAATTCTTGTTTCCGTAGTTTCGGTTTCAACAGTACTTGTTATTGGTTTTTCTGTGATAAATATCACAGAAGGTGTTGTTGTCTTAACATCAATTTCCGAAACAGTAGATTCTGTTGTCATTTCACCTTCGATTGGTCTAATTGTACTTGTTACAGGTTCTTTTGCAGTTATATCGGTTTCTGTTGATGGTGCAGCTGTGGTTTTGCTACCAACTTGAACTGAAGGTATTTCCGATGACGTAGTTGTTTCTTCACCTAATATTGGCGATATGGTCGTTGATGTTCCAGCACTGGTTTCCTTGACAGTTGTTATTTCATCTTCACCAGGAATAATTATACTTGATGATGGTGTTGTTGTCTCTTGACCAACTTGAACTGAAGGTATTTCCGATGACGTAGTTGTTTCTTCACCTTCTATTGGTGATATGGTCGTTGTTGTTCCAACACTGATTTCCTTGACAGTTGTCATTTCACCTTCATCAGGAATAATTGTACTTGATGATGTTGTTGTTGTCTCCATTCCAACTTGAACTGAAGGTATTTCCGATGATGTAGTTGTTTCAAGGCTGATTTCTGAAAAAGAAGTCAATTTCGTTGTAGCTTCTTGTTCAGCTGAAGGAACGGTACTGATACCTGGCATTTCAGTTGTTGATGATATTTCGGATGTGGTTTTAGTATCGACACCGATTTCTGAAACAGTTGGTTTTGTTGTCATTTCACTTTCAACGGTACTTATTGCTCCTGTAGTAGTTGTTTCGATACCAGCTTGGATTGCCGGTATTTCTTTTTCCGTAGTTATCTTATCATCGATTGATGATGATATTGTACTTGTTACCTCTTCCATAGCGGTTGAAGATAATTCCGATGGTGTTGTGAAAACAGTCGGTCTTCGGGTTGTTTCTGAAAATTCCGACATTGTTGTTGTTTCTACACCACCAACTTGAACAGATGGCATTTCTGATTCGGTTATATCTGCAGATTCGGTCGTTGACGATGCAACAGTTGATGATTCTGTTGTTGAATATTCAAATGTTGATGTTGTTGTTTCTTCAACTGTAGGCAATTCTGTTTGTGACGCTGTTGTTGTTGTTTCAATTTTTGATACATCGATAGGTATGGCTGTTGTTGTTACATTATCGGTAACTGCTTCCTCAGTTTGTTGTTTCATTGTTGACAAAGTGAATTCACCTGTTGCTTGTGTTTCTTTTTCAATAGGTAATTCTGTAGTAGTAACAAGTATTGATTCTTTTTCATCGGGTGTTGTTTTATTCATTTCGATTATACCCATTTCAGTTTCTTTACCTGGTTTTATTGTTGTATGTTCTTCTATCATTGGAGGTAATGTTGATGTAATAAAATCTTTAACAGTTGTTATTAATCCATCTATAAATGATGTTGTTGTTGTTGATTTTTCAGTTGATGCGGCAAGTTCTGGTTTGGTTGTCGTTGATGTTTCATCAATCATTTCAGATAATGTTGTATGTTCAAAATCATCACCACCTTTTATTGGCCGTTCACTTATTGTACTTCTTTCGGGTAATTCTGTTTCCGCAGTTGATGCTGCTTCAGTTGTTGTTGAAATTGCAGCAGTAGTGGTAGTTTCACCTTCCATCTGAGCGGCAGGAATTCTTGTTTCGGTAGGTTCGGTTTCAACAGTACTTGTGATTGGTTTTTCTGTGATCACTGAAGGTGTGGTTGTCTTAACATCAATTTCCGAAACAGTAGATTCTGTTGTTATTTCACTTTCGATCGGTCTAATTGTACTTGTTCCGGGTTCTTTTGCAGTTATATCAGTTTCTGTTGATGACGCTGTTGTCGTTGTCTCCATACCAACTTGAACTGAGGGTAATTCTGATGACGTAGTTGTTTCTTCACCTTCTATTGGCGATATGGTGGTTGATGTTCCAGCACTGGTTTCCTTGACAGTTGTCATTTCACCTTCACCAGGAATAATTGTACTTGATGAAAAAGTTGTCGGCAATTCCGTTGATGACGTTGTTGTCGTTGTCTCCATACCAACTTGAACAGATGGAATTTCCGATGACGCAGTTGTTTCTTCACCTTCTATCGGTGATATGGTCGTTGTTGTTTCAGCACTGATTTCTTTAGCAGTTGTCATTTCATCTTCTCCAGGAATAATTGTACTTGAAGAAGTTGTTGTTGTCTCTTGACCAACTTGAACAGCTGGAATTTCCGGTGACGAAGTTGTTTCTTCACCTTCTATTGGTGATAAAGTCGTGGTTGTTTTAACACCGATTTCCTTGTCAGTTGTCATTTCACCTTCATCAGGTATAATTGTACTTGATGATGTTGTTGTTGTCTCTTGACCAACTTGAACAGATGGAATTTCCGATGACGTAGTTGTTTCAGCGCTAATTTCTGAAACAGAAGTCAATTTCGTTGTAGCTTCTTCTTCTTCAACTGATGGAACAGTAGTGATACTTGGCATTCCAGTTGTTGTCGATTCGGTTATCGTTTCATTAACAACTCCAGTTATCACTGGTTTTGTTGTCATTTCACTTTCAACACTTGATGGTGTTACAGTATCGATTTCTTTCTCAGTAATCATACTTTCCGGTTGTTCTGTTGTTGTCATTTCGATTTGAACATCTTCTGTGGATGGAATTCCTGATTTAGTTGTTGTTTCCGTTTCAACTGGTGTAATCGTACTTGTAACTTGTTCCGCTAAAGTTGATGCAATAGTTGTTCCTTCAGAAATTTCAGAAATTTTAGTTGTTTTGGTACTGATTTCTGGGAAAGCTGTTGTTGTTGATTCACCAGACTCGATAGTGCTTGCTTCTATCATTTCCTTCTCAGTTGGTTTACCAGTTGCAGGCATTTCAACTTCGGATAAAGTCGTAGTTTCAATTCCTACTTGAATATCCGGTATTTCTGTTGTTGTTTTTTCACTTTCAACAAATGACACGGTACTTGTTATTTCTTCTTTTGGAATTGATGTTGTACTCTCAATTGGCATGGTTTTTGTAGTGTGAATTTCCGATGAAGGTGTTGTTGTTGTTGTTTCGTCAGTGATTTCTGATGCAGGTGTTGAAGTTATTTCAGTACTTATTTCTGAAACAACCGGCATAATTCCTGCTTTGGTTGTTATCTCAATTCCCTGAGTACTTGTTTCCATTTCTTTTTCTGTTGTGCTTGTCATAACATTAGGTTGAACTGTTGATATTTCTGATTCAATAGTTGAAACTTTGGACGTTGTTGTTGTTGTTTCACCTTCTACTGAAGCAATCGTACTTGATGATGGCGATTCAGTTGTTACTAAACCAACTTGAACAGATGGAATTTCAGTATCGATTTCTGGTTTCAAAGTTTCTTTTGATTCAGGACTTATTTCAGGTTCACTTGTAGTGGTGGTGGTGATGGATTCTTTTACTGTACTTGTCTTTTCTTCTTCAATCAATGATGGTAAAGTTGTTGAATGAATCAATTCTTTTTCATCAGGTAATGTTACATTTGTTGTTACGGATGGTCCTGTTGATGATTCTGTTGAATGTTCTTCAACGATTGGCAATTCGGTAGTAGTCATTTCTTTGGCTACTGATTGTGGTGTTGATTCAGACATTATAGACGTCGCTGATGACACTGTAGTTCGAATAGTTTCCAGTGGTTTTATCGTCGTTATAGTTTCCTTAACAGGTGGTATTTCCGATTCGTCAATCGTTTGATTAACAATTGTTTCGGGTTTTATAATTTCTTCCATATCTGATTCACTGATTGTTGTTGTTGTTGTCATTTCAATAGGTATTTCAGTTATTGGTTCTGGTTTCCAAACGTGTGGACGTTGTTTTGTTTTTGTACCAGTTTTTGTTATCGGTATATCCAAATCACTAATATCCGTTTGTTCAATAAAATCATATTCATTACATTCATAACGTGGACAGCATCTATTTTTATAATGTATTTCTTTACAATTTTTGTTTTGTTTTTTATTCAAATCTTCTTGACAAATAATTTCATCACAATAAACAACACTATTTATACACATACAATATTCAATACAAGGATTTGTTGAATTAACTTTTTCACCATTTTGATAGATTTTCTTTTCATATCGGCAAACACCTTCACCGGGTATTAATCCGGGTTTTACTTTTGGTCGATTATTTGTTGGTTTTTTTGTCACTTTATCGCCATTCGTTATTATTTTGACTAGTGTTTTGTTGCCTAATTTTTTTGTGGTTTTTTTGAAAAAAAAAATCAACAGGTTATCATCATCATTGAAAATATGAACTAACTTAATCTTACTTTTTTGTTCCGATAATATTCTCGTAATACTTATATCTTTTGGATGATTAAATAGATTTTGTTCTGAATGTTGTTGTTGTTGTTGTGAATGTTGTTGTTGTTGTGAATGTTGTTGTTGTTGTTGTTCTAATGATAAATCAATTTTCGGTGCTGGTAATCTTGGTTTTGATGTTTTATTCATTAAAAATTCATGTCCAAATGTTGTTGTTGTTTTTGTACGATTCGATTCTTTAAAGGTCGTAAATTGTGGATCTTTTGTGAGAACAAAAAAAAAATGGTCATTATTTTTATCATTATCGAAGAAAATTGTTTAAAAAAATACGTACAACATTCATATTTTTCCGGACAACAAGAATCATTATCAGTCCAAATTGGTATACAACCATCACATGGTGGTCGACATTCTTGTATAGCGCATACAATTTCATCACGCATACAATAACAATGTTCACATTTATCTTTTGATGGTATTTGTGCACCATCATCAAAAAATTTACCATTATGTTGGCATCCTGATGATTCTTTATTTGTTATCTGATCAAACCAATTGATTGGTGGTTGTTGTGTTGTATGACGCATTTCTATACCTTGTTCGCTTGCTAAAAATATTAATTTTTTCAATAAAAATAATCATAAATTTTTATTCATTTTTTTCACTGAGGTTAGGTTAAACCAAACCAAAAAACAAAAAAAAACTTACAGCAATTATATCTGACTGGACAGCATGTATTTTTTTGATAAATTGGTTGACAACCAGTAACACCTTGCAGATGACATTCTTGTAATGTACACATTGATTGATTCTGTATACAATAACAAATTTCACATGGTTTTAATGGATCGGATGGCATTAGATCACCATCACTATAATGAAAACCATCAATTTCACAACCTATTACCAAAACAAATAGAAATCAAAAATCAAAAAAATTAAGATTTCAATCAGAAATCAAATCAAATTACAAACCTTGTTTAATTGAAACTGTTGGTGGTGCAGATGTTGTTGTTGTTGTTGTAGTCGTTGTTGTTGTTGTTGTTGTTGTTGTTGTCATTAATGTTGTTGTTGTTTCATCGATCATTGAATCTAATAACCGAAAAAAAAAATTAAAAGAATCGATGAATGAATAAAAGTCATTGATCTGGTATCGATTTTGTTGTTGTTGTTGCTTACCTTCAGGACAAGTAATCGATGGACAACATTCACCATCTTTTTTTTCAATTAAACATTTTTCTCCAAGCGGTTTAATGAATGGACATACTCTTAGATAACACATTAACATACTATTCGTACATGTACAATTTAGACAAGGTTCATTTGTCATTACTTGTTCACCATTTTCATAATGTTTTAATAAATAATAACAGCCTTTCAAAATAATTTAAAAAGAGTGAAAAGGGTTAACAAAAAAAAACAAAAAATTTGATTGATTAATTTCAAAACCGAAAAAGAAAAGAAAAAAACTCTATTACAGCAACAATGAAAAGGACACTAACCTTTATCTTTCGGTGAACGGAATCGACCATATGTATGGAATGGAGCTGAAAGTGAGAAAAAAATTTCGAAATTAATAATTTGGATTTACGACTGAAAAATGAAAAATCGAAAAATAAATTTACCTGAATTGATGAGAGGCAATAATGAAATGACCAGAAAAATTGTCGTTATCAAAGCCGACCTTTTTGTTGTTGTACATTTTATCAGGATTAATTTAAGACATTCACCTGTTTGTTCGGATTAAGAGAGGGAGATTATTTAGCTTGTTTGAAACGAGAAAACATGAATAAATAAATCAAACATACTTAATATTTGACATTTTCTTCGCAATTTATGATTCTTTATAATCATTGACGATGATGATGATTTAGCTGGATGATTTCTTATTATAAGGTTTCTATTTAATTCTTTACAATATTTATTATTATTATTGACTAATTGATCTGTATTAACATCCAGATAAATATTTTGGTCATTTTTGAAAGACAAAATGTTTTTTTCATTTTCCATTGATATATTGTCATTTTTCTGATTGGTCGTATTTGCCTGCATCGTTTCGGTTGAAGATTCCATCATTATTTCATCATTAGAATATTCCATATTATTCACGATTGAATTGCGATGATTATTTTTCATCATTTTTTTTTCAAAAAATTCTTTTATTGAAGGTGGTAGCAAAAGCGAGCAAAAAATAAAAGTTGTCGTGTCCTTCAGGACAGATTATATTATCATTTGCAAGGAATTTTTATCATCCGGAAAACTATTTCGGTGAAAAAAAACAACAACAGAAAAATCATTATCAAAGAATGCAAAAAAAAAATGTTTTGAATTTAAATCGACCTTTTCCTGTAATTTTTTCTTCTTTGAATAATGTTTACTTTCACAGATCTTTTGAACATGAACTTTTTTTTGTTTTTACCGCATCACTCATTCATCGGTTATTGTTCTAGAAAAAACACAGGTGTATGCACTAACCCTAACCACTATATTCCCGGTATATGTTAATCAAATATTTGGTTTTTGTTTTTCCTACAGAAAAGAAAGATGTGAAAATATTTTGTTTCTATTGTTTTCCCAGTCAAAAAAAAAGACAAGCGAAAAAAAATCATTAAATTCCTGAATAACAAAAACAACACAATCGAATGGAAAAGTTTGAAGCTTCAGCAGAAAGATCAAAATCATAATCATCATTTTTTTCCTCAACAAATTCAATATGTTCACCATCACCACCATCAACGTTAATTAATGAATATTTGTTTGTTGTGAGAGAGAAACCAATGTTTGAAAAAGCCATCAACACCCACACACACACACAAACAAACAAGAATTGTAAAAATTAAAAGTGTTGATCATCTTCCAAATGGGATAATTATCAAAAAATTTTTTCTCATTTTTTTGTGCTGAGAAAAAGTTTTAATGAATAGGGTTTTTATGATCATTTTTTTTATTTCAGAAATTTTTTCATCGAAAAAAAAAATTCGTAAATCTTCGTTCATTCATTCATTGTGTAAGAAAAGTGATTGAGAAAAAGCAAGCAAGCAAAAAAAATCATTATTATTTCATAGCTCATTCGGTGGTGATAATGACATTGAAAAGTGTTTTTTTTGAGAATAAAATTTTTACAATTACGAAAAAGGCCATTTTTGGGAAATTTTTTTTCCAAATTTTCAATTTTTTTCCATGTTAACATCATCAATATTACTGTTATAATCAGCAGATATAGAATCAATCAAAAGGAAATAAAGATAGAAAAAAAACAATAGAAAAAGTGTCGATTTTTTCATCAATTTCTTCTTTTTTTATTATTCTAATGTGTCATAAAATTCTATTAGTCAAACTGAAAAAGTCAAAATCAGTCAAAAATTTTTTTGTTGTTGTTCAAATGATCCAAAATCAAACTGATTACTACTATTAAAGTAACTAAATAGTATTTACATCGAATGGTAGAATCGATCAATCATCGATCAATATCCGATAATCAATTATTCATTCAATTTAAATAAACAAACAAAATAATCAAAGACCATGACTAATGATAAAGAACAGAACAAACAAACGTAAACGATGATAATGATATTAACAATGCCAATGTGTTTTGTGTTTGTTTTGTTTTATTGTTTTAACAATGGGGAATAAAAGCATACATACATAGTGTGTTACCTTAGTGTTAACGATATTAATTATTAAAAGAAAAAAAAAATCCTAAAGTAAAAAAGATTTTTTGTTGCTAAAACTTTTTGTTGATGGCCATTTCCGAACAAATTATCATCATTCGAGATACTACTGTATTTGTTTTTCTCGTTGGATAAAGGGATAATCTCTCTGTATTTGTAAATATTAGCAGAAAATCAAACTTATCAATGGGCGCAACAAGAGAAATTTATGAATGAATTACACACACACACACACAAGACCAATACATCACCGTTTGTGATTTTTGATTGATTTTGCTGATTGTTGCCGGAATCGATAATTTCTTCAAAAACTTTACTTTGCTAATCTCATCAAGTACACCACCATCAACAAACAAACATCAATTTCAAGATTGCATCTTTTTTTTGGAAGTTAAGGATAAAATCAAATAGATTTTCTGCTTAACCATTTACTATTTGTTTTGTTTTGTTTTGTTTTGAAACAAGTAGCAGCTAATTTTAATCGCATCTTGTATTTCTGATCGATCGATTGATCTTTACAGTGAGGAAAAATGATGAAAATGAAAAATGATAATGAAGGTAGCTAAATTCTGTCCTTCAGATTTGATGATCATCCAAGTTTTCTCAACATTGATTTTTTAAAAAGAAATTTCCGGTCACATAAAACCGTTGATGATGAGAATTTTGATAAGGTTGATGACGATGAAAACAAAACAGATACATTTTGCTGAAGAAAAAAAACCTGGTTAGATTTTCTTTGTTTTGTTGCTTTATGATGATTACCTTTGCTCATCATCATATCCTTTTCTTTTCGTCTCATATTTCGTGACAAAACCACTAGTCATTCAAACAGACAAACAGCGAATATCGTTCTGATTCAATTAAAGATTCACTGATTTTTTTTGACAGATTTTATGTCATTAATTAATTAATTATCATATTGAAAACCGATGGCCAATGCATTTCTCTCCTTCGTCATAATTTCATTTTGCAGGAAAATGTGACAGACTAAAAATGTGGTGGTTTTTATTCTCATTTTGATGATGATTTTAGCGAATCTTAAAACTTTCGCTAAATTCGTCATCAATATTAATTGCAAACAATGGCGACAGACACACAGAGACCAAATGAATGAATGAATGAAAGTAAATTGAGTGAATGAAAAACCTGTTGAAATTGTTTATTTGTTTTCTACAGAGAATACCTTTTCGTGATCAGAAAATTTTATAATAAAAAATCATATAAAAAAAATAAGAGGAATAAATTAATTTTCAAGACAAAAAAAAAGAAGATCTTTACATTTGCCTAATAACTTTGCGAATGTCAATGATTATTTTATCTTTATTTGACATCACAGACAAAAGCAAAATAAATTTGAATTCATTAAAACAGTGGTTGGTTGGTTGATTTTTGTTGTTGTTGAATGAATTAAGAATTTTCAATAGTTCACCTGACCTTTGCCCTTGATGATTGTTGAATGCATAGAAGAGAAAAGAGAAAATATCCTTTTTTTCCCTTATATTCTTTAACGAATAAAATATTCTTTACCTTGACAAACAAAACAAACAAACAAAATTTTTATCATTTCCTTTTGAAACACACACAAAACACACACTTAAAGATTTGAAAAGAAAAAAATATTGTCAAAAAAACGAAGAAAGAAAGATAAATCTATTATCATTATCAGCTTCTTGAATGGTTTCTGTTTATGTTTGATGGAAGAAGAAGAAAAAAAATCCATGAATTTTATCAACCTGCATCCATTTCATGATTTTTGATTTTGTTTTTTTTTTTTGTTTTTGTTTTTTTTTTTTTTTTTTTTTAAATTCAAAAAAATTAAAATTTAGCAAACAAAAAAAAAAAAATTTTGT